TTGAGCTGAAGAGCTGAGGGACAGCGCCCAGGCCCAGAGTTCAGGCCCCACGACCAGACCAAAAAAAAACAAAATAGAACTATTATGTATGTATGAAATAACAATACTAAAATTAATGCTAATATTGTGCCGTAGGGGATTAGGTAATCGATTATACTCTGACTTACCTCTATAAACATGTATAGAGGAAGCCTGGTGGTCACCAAAGGCTTTGTATCTAGTTGTGAACAGAACAGCAATGAGGAAGGAAAAAAGCCAACAAGATTGCTACAAAACAAAAAACAAGAAAACAAAACTAAAAACAAAAACACATAAAAAAAACTGATAGAAAAAAGGTAACAGAGAGTTAAGCTATTTGTAAAAAATAAAAAGTGGAGGAGCAAAAAAATTTTTTAAAGAAGTTTAAAAAAAAGAAAAAAAAAGGCTATAATTGGGGAAAAAGGAAAAAAAGAAAAAAAAGTATTTTCTATTTATTTGGGGCTCTTATGTCTCCTCTTAAGTCCCTTGATGGCGTGTTTGATTTGCTTTTAGTGGTTGGTTTTCCCCGTTGCTTGGTTGGTTTCTCAAATCAGCTTGTTTGGGTGCACAGAAAAACATTCTGTTTTTAAGGTTTGGGGGCTTTGTGACCTTCCCAGACTAAAAAGCATGGTCTGCTCTTTTTGTGTGTGCTGCCAGGAGAAGGCTGCTGGAGACTGCAGTTGGTTGCTATTGGGATTGATGTGGGTGTGGGTGTGGTTTTGGCCTGTCTGGAATCAGTGGCTTTTCCCAAACTGGGGAACCCCCTTTGGGCCACTCACCTGTATCTTCTCTTAGCTTTTGTAGCCTGTCCAGTTTTTTTATTATTATTTGTTAATGAATTTTAGTGAGAGTCCTGCAGTTGGCTGAGCTGCCAGTTCAGCTGAGGTTATGGGTGGAATTTCTTTGCTGCCTGCTGGGGGTCGTGGCTGCCTTTCTGTGCTCACCAGGGAGTGAGTTCTGGCAGTGAGGAGTTCCTCCCTTCAGGGTGGTACAGACTAAGGGGAAGGTTTTTGTAATCTGTTTCTAAAGAATGCTTTTTTAGCTTTTATTTAGCAATATAAACCTTAAAAGAAATGCTTGGTAATTCCCTCCCCCCTCCCTCCCTCCTTTTCTTCCTTCCTTCCTTCCTTTTTCTTTCTTTCCTTCCTTCTTACTCACTCTTTTTCTCTCTCTCTTGCTTTCTCTCCTCTCCTCTCCTCTCCTTTCCTCTTCTCTTCTCTCCTTTCCTTTTCTTTTCTTTCATGGGTTGTGGGTCCCTGAGCTCTTTTGCTCAAGGCTAGTGCTTTACCACTTTGATCCACAGCTCTACTTCCAGTTTTTGAGTGGTTAATTAGAGATCAGATTCTCATGGGGACTTTTCTGCCTAGGCTGCCTTCAAACTATGATCCTCAGATCTCAGCTTTCTGAGTAGATAGAATTACAGGAATGAGCCACCAGTGCCCAGCATAATTTCATTTCTTCAACTACAAAACCCTATGTATACTAAAAAATAGTATGAGTAAAATCAAAAAGAGAACCAATAAACTTGGAGAATTAAGTAATGTGTGGCTTATTGTAGACAAAAGACTAATATTTCTAATTCATGAAGGTCAAAGATGTGCAGTCATTCCAACAAAAAATATGGACTGTGGGTAGAGAGACATTTTATAGAAATGAAAATGTAATTTATCTTTAAATATATAATGTGGTCTTCAGCCTCTTTACAAAGAAGCAAGTGCAAATGGTAACTATAGTGAGTTCTTTTTTTAAAACCTGTCATTGCAAAAAATAACTTAAAAAGCTTAAGATACACATTGTTGACATGGCTGTTACAAGATAGGCAGTAGTCAGCCTTGAGGTCCACATGTAGGGCATCCAAGGAGAACTTAACTCAGTGGCATCTAACAATGGACTCAGTCTAGCAGTGCTGATTTGTGAAGTCACTCTCCCCATGAACTTGCTCCTGTGTAGGTCATTACTATAACATTACATAGCAGAAAAAAGGAAAGAATTAAAACAGTAGCCTCAACTTCAATAACTAAGGAACTATTTAAGCAAATCATGATGTATCCATGTGTTATATAGTACTTTGCAACTATAAAAAAAAGAATGAAAACACAGATTGGCGCCAGTAATCCTAGCTACTCAAGAGGCAGAGATCTGAGGATTGAGGTTTGAAGCCAGCCTAGGCATGAAAGTCTGTGAGATTCTTATTTTCAATAAACTACTCAGAAAAAGCCAGAAGTGGTGCTGTAGTTCAAGTGGTAAAGCCCTAGCCTTGAACACAAAGAGTCCTAGGGACAGTGCCCAGACCCTGAGCTCAAGACCCAGGAATGGAAAAAAATAATGAAAACACTAGTGTTTTCAGGGGTTAGGGAACTCTGAGGTATTTGTTATGTAAAAAGGCAAGTAGAAATCAATACCATGATGGGCTAACTTATGTACAAAGACAAGAAAATAGCATATAGCCATGTTTCTGATACTGGGAATTGAATTTAGGGTCTAGGTACTGTTCCTTATCCTCTTTGCTCAAGGCTTGTGATCTAACACTTGAGGTACAGCTCAGTTTCAGACATTTTTTGTGGTGAATTGGAGGTAAGTGTCTCATGGACTTTTCTGTTTGAGGAGGCTTTGAATTGCGATCCTCAGATCTCAGTGTCCTGAGTAACTAGGATTAGATGCATGGGCCACTGGTGCTCAGAGTGTATTTTTATGGTAAAAACTTCAGAAGGGTATACTGTGGACTAATCACAGTGATTACTGGGTAAGAATGTTATGTTGGAGAGGTGGGAGAGGACAAGTGAAAAAGTTTTCACTGTAAATTTATATTTCAAGTGCATACAGAGATATACACATAGAATATATGGTGAGGCATTGCATCTGCATCTGTGTATTTTGAACTACACGAACTAAAACAATGCAAATTTAGTTACCTAATAAATTATGTACATAGAAAATACTGAACTAAAAGATGTCAAGGGATCTGTCACAATCAATAATAGATGACTGTGTAAAGCACTTGCCAACTTAAGATATCCTCTCCAAACTGATTTCTTACTCTACTGTGTTAGCCAGCCTTCCTTTGATGGGACCAAATTCTGGAGATAAATAGCTGAGAAAGAGGAAATGCTTATGGCTCATGATATGAGAAATTCCAGACCATGATTGATTGCTTGTGCTGTTTTGGGTGTCTGTAGTGAGACAGAATGTCATGTGTGATGGAACAAAGCAACTCATTTTTTTTTTCCTGGAAGAAAGGAGAGGAGGGAGGAGGAGAGAAGAGTAAGGAATATCCCCTCTAAAAGACCTACTTCCAGTAGCCTCAGTTCCTTCCACAAAACTCTACCTCCTAAAGGTCCCACCACTTCCCAGGTTGGTGAGCAAGCTTTCAGCAGATGTCTTAAGGGAACATTGACTGTAGAAACCATAATCCCCATGATAAAGAAACTTTGATCACATATTTGTACATATGTGACTTATTTGTTTATTTCAAAACTATGTTTTAGTACTCTACAAGTTGCATTTTATACTTTGAAATCACAGACTAAAAAAGAAAAAACTCACACCAGAAAAATGAAATTAATAGTACGTTTAACAGGTCAAACCTAGTAAGCTTTCATTAAAATATTAATGGGATTGTTTTTGAGTGTCTGGTTTAAATCTTGGTGATACTATTATCTGCAGTCAGATGAGGATCTAGTGGCTTTCCTAGCTGTGTGTTTGCTAAGGCCAAAGGTTTCCTGGTGGGGGACTTTTTAGAGCTTGACCAGGTCAGAGCATAAACTGGAAAAGCCAGTTTGTCTGTTTTGTGACAGCTTGAAAAGATATATCCCACACATATACATGAGTAAATGAAGAAAGGATTGTTGGCTGAATTTACTAAAGCATAAAACTCACATCAGCCACTTATTATGCTTCTGGCTTGTAAAGCAAGAAAAAAAAAACAGAGGCTAGCTGGTTTATTTCTATGCCAAGGTTTCTGTGTAAATAAGTTGCCAAATTTTCATCTTCTCTGATGACAGTTTGTACTCAGAAACGAATCAAAAGTTGTGCATATTTATATTCCTAAAATGAATTAAAAGCCCACTGAAACTTCTTATTTGGAAGCTTTTCAATTGAGAACTTTTATTTCCTGTTTTTTTTTTAGTTTAATCATGCATTTTATTTGGTGGTGTACATTAGTTTTTGTTCACAAAATGACAGAAATAAGGCATATATCTGGATATCTGTTTTTCAAATGCTCCTTTCTTCTGAATCTTTCAACAATGAGATAGAATGAGAGATAAATGGAAGGAGAAAGAAAAGAGGAAGAGAGATACAAAGATAAAGAAGAAAGGAAAGAGAAGGAAGGGAAGGAAGGGAGGAAGGAGGGAGGGAGGGAGGCAGGCAGCAGGCAGGCAGATTGATTCTCAGTTTTACTCAATGGGTGATTCACCTCACTATCTCTGTGCCTGATGCATCACTTGACCACAGGAAGGGCACTGACACCTTGCTGTTGCTGGCACTTGTCTTGTGAGTCATATTCAATGTGTGATTTCTTTATAGGAACTAGTGAAGTCATCTGTCCACTGTGTGAAGGTCAGTTTGGTTACACTTAGAAAAGACTGTCTTAATTGAACGCTGAAAAATTGTGATAGGTTGAAAGCAAAAGCAAGAGGCAGAGTGGGACTTGGGTAAGGAGCAGGCCTCTCCTCTCAAGCGGGCCCCCCATGTGGCTTGCCAGGCTCACAGATGTGGGTAGCTGCACATCCATGTCACCCTCCATAGAAACTGTTGTTGAAGTCTTTCTTTCCTACTTTATCCAACAAACAACAGAGGAGACTGCTGGCACATATATGTGGATCATGCGGCGCCTTACCTGGGGACCCAGAAGGAGGGTGCTGGCTCTGTGGTTATCCCCTTGATTAAGGAGATCTTCATGTTCGTACTTTCTTCAAATAGATGCAGTCGTTTTCCAGATGTTATACAGAAATACAATCTAAACTACATTTTCTGTGTTCCAGGAGCAAGCAGAAGAAGAGAAGAAGCCCAAGGACAGCATGGCCCTCTTGAGTCATGGTAATTATCACCATCTGTGCAGTTCTTGCTGGAAGGAAGCAAATCTTAAGTAAAATCTTGGTTACATTGCTTTAGTTGTTTTAGATCCATTAGTTGAAGTCTGTAACAACATTCCTATTTACCCACAGCATTAGAGTCTCTTCTGTGGATGTTATCTAAGTCCTTCAAATACATACATATATAAAGAAGAGTCTGAAGCTGTTGATAAATCTGATGTACTTCCTTTTTTTTTTTTTTGCCAGTCCTAAAGCTTGAACTCAAGGCCAGCCCACTGTCCCTGAACTTTTGTACTCAAGGCTTACTGCTCTACCACTTGAGCTACTGCTACACTTTCAGCTTTTTAGTGTTTCATTGGAGAAAATAATCTCATGGACTTTCCTGCTTGGGCTGTCTTTGATTTTTCATCCTCAGATCCCAGCCTGCCTAGCTGCTAGGATTACAGGCATGAGCCACTGGTGCCCGGCTGCACTTGACTTTTAAAAAAGCTTCAAGAGGGCTGGGAAGGTGGCTCAGTGGCAGAGCGCTTGCCTTGCATGCCTGAGGCCCTGGGTTCGATTCCTCAGCACCACATAAGCAAAAAGAAAAATACCGGAAGTGGCGCTGTGGCTCAAGTGGTAGAGCGCTAGCCTTGAGCTGAAGAGCTGAGGGATAGCGCCCAGGCCCAGAGTTCAGGCCCCACTACCGGACCAAAAAAAAAAAAAAAAAAAAAAAGCTTCAAGAAAAAACTTCTGGCTTGTAAAGCAAGAAAAAAAAAAGATACTAGCTGGTTTATTTCTAATTCTTTACTTTGGCTTTTCTGGGGTGATCCACTTTTCTAATGGTTTTATTTGTACTATCCTATAAAGTCATGTTTTGGTGGAGGTTGTATATCTACTCTACAATAACTTTCCTGTCATCCTTATTCATGCAATAGGTTTTAGGTAATATACTTTTGGTATTCAATCAATTCTCTTTACATTAAATGGAGTTGTTATTCCATGGAAGTAGATTTCACATATTTGGTTATTGTTGCTATACAAGCAGGCAGCATTTACATTTTCTATAAAATGTAGCTGAATACCCAACATTCCCAGTGGAAGGAGGCATGTAAATCTGATAATATTCCTCCAGTATACTTTCATTCGATGTTTGCTGAGTAAGCTCTTTTTTTCGTTTTCAAATAGTGAAAACACCTAAAATATCTTTGAAAAAAATGACAAGAATTGAGATTACTAAAGACTATTTTGTATTATTTAGTCTTGGGATATAATTCTGAATATTTGTGACCTTGTACCTAAATAATGTTTGAAATAAAAATTGTTTGACTGTAACCAAGCATCTGAATGCTGTTTTAAATGTCTTCGCTTGCTGCTACCCCAGACCTGTCACACTCTTTGCTGAAGGAGCAGAATAAGATGCAGGAGTTTGATAATTACATAACTTGATGTTCAGCTCCATTGAAATACACTTCCCTTATGCAACAGTGGAATTTTCAAAACAAATTTGGACTATACCTCCTAGCTGCAGGAAGTTTCTCTAAACAATTTTCTTCCGTCATGGAGAGATTGTGATTTATGATGTTGTTTATCTCCCACAGCTATACTTTCACTAATTATTTTCAAAATCTACTTTGTTTTAGGGTGTGTGTGTGTGCAATCACGTGTGCGCACGTGCATGCATGACACTAGTGGAGATTGAACTCAGCTCAGGGCCTTACACTCTTGCTTAGCTTTCGTTCACTCAAGGCAGGCACACTACCTTAACTGCACCTCTACTTCTGGCTTTTTGCTAGTTAATTGGAGATAAGACTCTCTCAGATTTGTTTATCTGGGTTGGCTTCAAATTTTTGATCCTCAGATTTCAGTTTCCTGAGTACCTAGGATTATAGGAATGAGTCATTAGAGCTCAGCTGTTTTATATTATTCTTTCCCATAGTTGAAGAAAAAGAAAAGTAGACTCAGGTAAACACTTTAAAAATGTTTGGTTCTGCTGAGCTCTGGTGGCTCATGCCTATAATCCTAGCTACTCAGTAGGCTGAGATCTGAGGATTTGGGTTCGAAGTCAGTACTGGCAAGAAAATCTGTGCGACTATTATGTCCAATTAACCTCCAGAAAACCAAAAGTGGAGCTGTGGCTCAAAGTGGTCGAGTGCTAGCCTTGAGCAAAAAAGCTCAGGGAGATCACCAGGCCCTGAATTCAAGTTTACAATCGACAAAAAAGTTTAATTCCATTAACTGAGATTGTTTATTAATTTATTGATTATACCATAATCGTGGGCAGGTACAGGATTATTTCTAATGGTTTGTCAGCTTTCTTAGCAAGGCATCTCTTTCTTGTTCTCCATTGGTGGATATGCTGTAGTTAAGAGCTAATGGTTAATGGTTCCTTCTTAAAAGTTTCATGCTATGCTATAGCTTATTCTTCTCCAAACTTGTTGTTTATTGTTGTTTCTAGTTTTCCTATCTGTGAAACATAACAAGTGAGACAAAGGATTAGGCTTAGTTGGTGCATGTAGCTGCTACAGATTTCTAGTTGCAATGCAGTTAGATTATCTGAGGCTTTTTGAGGTAACTCCTAATTTAATCACTTTTAATGGGATAAAGGAAATAAATCCTTAAATTTCCTATTATTCAGTGTTTGTTTCCAGTGTTTCATGCTTAGAATCCTTTCCCATGTGTATTGAGTACTTTTCTACCTTGTAGTGCTGTAGCTGGGCTTTAGGAAAAGTTAGCCTACACAATGTCTGTAGTCAGTGAAGGGAACCACAAAGACTGGGAGTCTCCTGCCAGGACATCCCAACAACATCATCCTTCAGATAAGAGACTTCCATATTTGTATGAGAATAAAGTGATTTATAGCCAAATTCTATTGCACAAAATAATAGTTTGACTACATCTTTTGCATATGTTGGTGTCCTATTTGGCAGCGATTCTTAGTTGATCTCTAGGGACTAGAACTTCCTCTGCCTTCATTTTTTTTTTCTCAGCCACTCTGCACAGGCACTCAACTTGACTCCAGCCTGTGTAAATTTCTATTCCTTGACTCAAAATTCTGGCTGGACTCAATGTCCTAAAATAATCCAACTCCTAGAGGTCAAGATCTACTGTAACTCTTGAAATAATCTGATTTGGGATTTGCAGTTTCCTGTCTCTGCCTAGAGTTGTGTCCAATTGCATCATTGCATTCAATATTTGAATGAGGATTTTTCTGTTGTATTTTGTGGAAATAGTTATTTTCTTCATAATGCTTATAAAACTGTAGAGCCTTGGTCCCTTATCTCATGTCTTAAAATTAATACCAAAATGAAAATAAAAGCTATGTATGGACACATTAATACTTATATATGAATAGGAAATTATATTGACAAATAAGCAGGGCTTATAATCAGCATGTGTTTCTTTGGACATTCATAAAAATAACACATTCAATATCTAACCTATGCCACTCTCACTGAAGCTCATGTTACAGATGAGAAATATTTGATATACACAATGTAAAATTAACTCATTGGCAATGTATCAGTATTTGAACACATATACAACAAGTTTTAAAGTCTGTGACCTTTTCACATTGGCATTCTCCCCTCCTTATAGATGTTAAGACAGAAGGAGAAAAAGCTGGAATCTTGCTTAGAAGTTGGGATGGAAAAAATGACTGCTAGTAATGAGAGACCAACGATGTGATACCATCCTCTGGGTCCCCAGGGACTGGGTGAACTAGAGTGTCCGTGGGTCATATCCTGATATTGATTTGAGGGTTTTTTGGGGGGGGGAACTCTTTGAACAAAAATTATTCTTAGTCATTAAAACAATTAACAACTCTCTTAGATCCCTCTGAAATAGGACATGCCTCATAAATCTTCGTCAATAATTGTTTGTGATTAGAAAGGGAGAGATCTTATTATCAGTGGTCAATCTCACACCTATATGCCTGTACAGTTGAGGTTTCTAAAATAAAAACATTTGGTTTCTTTGGTTGAACAAGTGATCTGGCTTTTCCGATTCTAAATTTATCTGTGCCCTTTGTAAAGAAATACCAATACCTGTCCAGTTGAGTGTTAGGCAGAGAAAGCCTTATAAAAGTGACATTGTGTGAAGAAGTTGTAAGGAAAACTTAGATGTATCCAAGTAAAATTGTTTCCCAAGCAAAATCACAATAAATACAAGGGAAACAAAGTCAACAGAGATTCTCTACCACTACAACTGACAAAAGGTCCACAATAGATAAAATAAGCTCAGTGAAAAGATGATATCCACCAAGATTCTAGTACAGCACCAGACAGAGGACAGGGACAGGTAATTCACAGGAGAGAAGTGAAAAGGGACAAAAATAAGTAATCTTAAATATTCAAATAAGTAAGCCCCAAATATTGTCTCACTAGACTGCTCAAGAAATGTAAGTCTAAAAGTAATGAGGACAGTTTTTGACCGACCAAGTAGCAGATTTTATTTATTTATTTATTTACCACAAATTCCCCTTGCTGGTGGGATGGGGTAGAATGTCTCTTGCTTCCTGACTTTCTAAAGGAGCAGAATTCAGTCCTAATGGTTTGGAGGGGGTGTTAGTAGTTTTTATCAGAAGCATTACATAAAATGTTTCTTTGACTTCAGAATTTCTTGTAAAATTCATCCTATGCAGTATGCATGTGTATCCCATTTTTGTTCATCTGATCATGGTGACACTATTTATGCATTCTGAAAAGTTGAAAATTGCCTTAAAGCTCAACAGTTTCAGAATGTAGATAATATATTGTGACATAGTTGTATGTAGGCAGTTATGTCACTTAAAAACTTTTATTTATTTATTTTTGTGATTACCAGGGTTTGAAATCAGAAACTTGTTTGTTTGGTTTGCTTGGCTCTATTATACATGGGCTGTGCCTCCAGCTCAGCTTTTAGCTGACTATTTTGGAGGAAAAATCTTGTGGATTTTAGACTTTTAGGTAAGGTCCAGAGAGAGTAAAGAGATAGCTCTATGTACTGCTCACTCAATTTCTCCTGACTTTTACATCTATGATCATG